CATCCCCGCTGGGCGCCAGCCCGTCTCAGGCGGAGCATCTCTGCTTCCGCGGCCGTTTGCTGCCCGGGCCCCCGGGTTTCTCCGGTTGCCCTGGCTCGTGGCCCCCTGTCCGGCTTCCGCGATTTCCCTCCGTTTGTAATCGAGCTCGTGGCAGCTGTTGCTGCCTGTCTCTGACGGGCGCCCCTCGCCCCATGCCCCCCCCGGGGCGCGAGGGATTGGGGGCGCCTTCCATGCTCCCGCCCCTGCCTGGCCCTGGAGCTGGCCCGTGGTACTGCGCGACCTTCTGCAAGGGTGCACCTGCGCTAAGACCCGTCTCATTGCCGTTCGTCGCTCCTCGCCCGTGGCGCCGCCTCTTGGGTCTGCTCGTTGCCTGATGCGCACTGACGACAGGTACTGGGAGTTCCACTTGTTCCACGGCTGAGCCGTGGCCTCTGCCCTTTCGTTCTCTTCCTTGTGTCTCGTCGCCGCTTTCTTTTCTCCTCTGTTGTTCGTTCGCCGTCTCTCGTCGCCTCGCTCTCTTCCCTTGTGTCTCTTGTTCTCGCCACTGCCGCGTAGGCCTCTTGGCGGGTTTGGACGCCTCTTAGAGCGTCTTGGGTGCCTCGGAAAGCTTCTTGGGGCCTCTTGTGGGTCTCTTGGGCCTCTTGGAGGCCTCTGGGGCGCCTGTTGGGGCTTCCTGGGGCCTCCTGGGCGCCTCTTGGGGCCCTCTTGAAGCGCTCTTGGGAGTGTGGGAGCGCCCTTGGAGCCCTCTTGGGCCGTCTTGGAGTCGTCGTGAAGCCTCGGATGGCCATCGGAACCGAAAAGGCGAGAACGCCCAAAATATTTATCACCTAACAGCGAAGACTGATAGGTTTCTAGTTGACTCAAAAGAGCTCACAGATCACTCCACAGGGGGGTCCGGGCAGGTGTTGGGGAGTTGCCGGGCGGCAGGGTGCCGGGCTCGTTTTTCACCAACAGTCACACACTTCGTGCTCTTCGACTTCCCAGAACTCCATTCCCAGGCCACATTCTGAATACCCGGATGCAACAGTCACACACTTCGTGCTCTTCGAGATCCCAGAACGCCATTCCCGGGCCACATTCGGAATAGCCGGACGCAACAGTCACACACTTCCTCTCTTGACACCCCAGAACTCCATTCCCGGGCCACATTTTGGATGCCCGGAGCCAACTGTAGGCCACTTCGTGCTCTTCTATTTCCCAGAACTCCATTCCCGGGCCACATTTTGAATGCCCGGAGCCAACTGTAGGCCACTTCGTGCTCTTCGAGTTCCCAGAACTCCATTCCCGGGCCACATTTTGAATGCCCGGAGCCAACTGTAGGCCACTTCGTGCTCTTCGAGTTCCCAGAACTCCATTCCCGGGCCACATTTTGAATGCCCGTAGCCAACTGTAGGCAACTTCGTGCTCTTCGACTTCCCAGAACTCCCATTCCTGGGCCACATTTTCAGCAGGGGCAAGAGCACGACGAGGAGGAGGACGAGCAAGACCAGGAGGACGAGGACGAGCAGGAGCAGGAGAGGAGCAGGAGAGCAGGAGAAGAAGGACGAGCAGGAGGAGGGAGGACGAGCAGGAGGAGGAGGACGACCAGGAGGAGGAGGACGACCAGGAAGAGGAGGAGGAGGAGGAGGAGGGGAGGGGGAGGAGTACCAGGAGGAGGAGGAGGAGGAGGAGGAGGAGGAGGAGGAGGAGGAGGAGAAGAGGAGGAGGAGGACGAGACGAGGAGGAGGAGGAGGAGGAGGGGGGGAGAGTACCAGGAGGAGGAGAACGAGGACCACCAGGAGGAGGAGGAGGAGGAGGAGGAGGAGGAGGAGGAGGAGGAGGAGGAGGAGGAGAGAACACCAGGAGGAGGAGGACGAGCAAGACGAGGAGGACGAGAACGAGGACGACCAGGAAGAGGAGGAGGAGGAGGAGGAGGAGGGGAGGGGGAGGACTACCAGGAGGAGGAGGAGGAGGAGGAGGAGGAGGAGGAGGAGGAGGAGGAGGAGGACGAGGAGGAGGAGGAGGAGGAGGGAGGAGGAGGAGAGCACCAGGAGGAGGAGAACGAGGACCACCAGGAGGAGGAGGAGGAGGAGGAGGAGGAGGAGGAGGAGGAGGAGGAGGAGAGAGCACCAGGAGGAGGAGGACGAGCAAGACGAGGAGGACGAGAACGAGGACGAGCAGGAGGAAGAGGAGGAGGAGGAGGAGGAGGAGGAGGAGCAGGAGAAAGAGGAGGAGGAGGAGGAGGCAGGCTGAGGCTGAGGCTGTGACTGCGACTGCCGTTGCCGCTGCGACTGTCATCGCGAATGCGACTACGACTGCGAGAACAGCAGAATTCTACAACTGGATTTTCATCTGAATCTTAAGGGGAATGCTTTCAGATATGCTTCTACACATCGCTGTTAGGTTGCTTTGCCGGGATAATTTTTACCTAACAGCGAAGACTGATAGGTTTCTAGTTGACTCAAAAGAGCTCACAGATCACTCCACAGGGGGGTCCGGGCAGGTGTTGGGGAGTTGCCGGGCGGCAGGGTGCCGGGCTCGTTTTTCACCAACAGTCACACACTTCGTGCTCTTCGACTTCCCAGAACTCCATTCCCAGGCCACATTCTGAATACCCGGATGCAACAGTCACACACTTCGTGCTCTTCGAGATCCCAGAACGCCATTCCCGGGCCACATTTAGAATAACCGGATGCAACAGTCACACACTTCGTGCTCTTCGACATCCCAGAACTCCATTCGGGCCACATTTTGAATGCAACAGTCACACACTTCGTGCTCTTCGAGTCCCAGAATCCATTCCCGGCCACATTTTGGATGCCCGGAGCCAACTGTAGGCCACTTCGTGCTCTTCGAGTTCCCAGAACTCCATTCCCGGGCCACATTTTGAATGCCCGGAGCCAACTGTAGGCCACTTCGTGGTCTTCGAGTTCCCAGAACTCCATTCCCGGGCCAGATTTTGAATGCCCGTAGCCAACTGTAGGCAACTTCGTGCTCTTCGACTTCCCAGAACTCCCATTCCTGGGCCACATTTTCAGCAGGGGCAAGAGCACGACGAGGAGGAGGACGAGCAAGACCAGGATGACGAGGACGAGCAGGAGCAGGACGAGGAGCAGGAGGAGCAGGAGAAGAAGGACGAGCAGGAGGAGGAGGAGGACGAGCAGGAGGAGGAGGACGACCAGGAGGAGGAGGACGACCAGGAAGAGGAGGAGGAGGAGGGGAAGGGGAGGAGTACCAGGAGGAGGAGGAGGAGGAGGAGGAGGAGAGGAGGAGGAGGAGGAAGAGGAGGAGGAGGAGAGGAGGAGGACGAGGACGAGGATGAGGAGAGGAGGAGGGGGGGGGAGGTACAGGAGGAGGAGAACGAGACCACCAGGAGGAGGAGGAGGAGGAGGAGAGTAGGAGGAGGAGGAGGATGAAGAACACC